GATGGAGAGATGGATGGAGAGATGGACCCAGGGATGGACAGATGGACACAGGGATGGACAGATGGACACAGGAATGGAGAGATGGATGGAGAGATGGACCCAGGGATGGACAGATGGACACAGGGATGGACAGATGGACACAGGAATGGAGAGATGGATGGAGAGATGGACCCAGGGATGGACAGATGGACACAGGGATGGACAGATGGACACAGGAATGGAGAGATGGATGGAGAGATGGACCCAGGGATGGACAGATGGACACAGGGATGGACAGATGGACACAGGAATGGAGAGATGGATGGAGAGATGGAGAGATGGATGGAGAGATGGAGAGATGGATGGAGAGATGGAGAGATGGATGGAGAGATGGAGAGATGGATGGAGAGATGGAGAGATGGATGGAGAGATGGAGAGATGGATGGAGAGATGGAGAGATGGATGGAGAGATGGAGAGATGGATGGAGAGATGGAGAGATGGATGGAGAGATGGAGAGATGGATGGAGAGATGGAGAGATGGATGGAGAGATGGAGAGATGGATGGAGAGATGGAGAGATGGATGGAGAGATGGAGAGATGGATGGAGAGATGGAGAGATGGATGGAGAGATGGAGAGATGGATGGAGAGATGGAGAGATGGATGGAGAGATGGAGAGATGGATGGAGAGATGGAGAGATGGATGGAGAGATGGAGAGATGGATGGAGAGATGGAGAGATGGATGGAGAGATGGAGAGATGGATGGAGAGATGGAGAGATGGATGGAGAGATGGAGAGATGGATGGAGAGATGGAGAGATGGATGGAGAGATGGAGAGATGGATGGAGAGATGGAGAGATGGATGGAGAGATGGAGAGATGGATGGAGAGATGGACCCAGGGATGGACAGATGGACACAGGGATGGACAGATGGATGGACAGATGGACCCAGGGATGGACAGATGGACACAGGGATGGACAGATGGAACCAGGGATGGAGAGATGGACCCAGGGATGGACAGATGGACACAGGGATGGACAGATGGATGGAGAGATGGACCCAGGGATGGACAGATGGACACAGGGATGGACAGATGGATGGAGAGATGGACCCAGGGATGGACAGATGGACACAGGGATGGAGAGATGGACAGAGGAATGGAGAGATGGATGGAGAGATGGACAGACGGACCCAGGGATGGAGAGATGGACCCAGAGATGGACAGATGGACACAGGAATGGAGGGATGGATGGACAGATGGACACAGAGATGGAGAGATGGAGAGATGGATGGACCCAGGGATGGACAGATGGACACAGGGATGGACAGATGGACACAGGAATGGAGAGATGGATGGAATGATGGACCCAGGGCTGGACAGATGGACACAGGGATGGAGAGATGGATGGACCCAGGGATGGACAGATGGACACAGGAATGGAGGGATGGATGGACAGATGGACACAGAGATGGAGAGATGGAGAGATGGATGGACCCAGGGATGGACAATCAGCTGGGGGGATGGACAGAGAGATGGAGAGAAGGATGGAGGGATGGTGGGAAGGACAGCGATGGATGGAGAGATGGATGGAGGGGTAGCTGGATAGATGGACACAGGGATGGACTATTGGATGGATGGACGGAGAGGTGGAAGAATGGACAGAGGGATGGATGGAGAGATGGACAGTGAGATGGATTGGAGGGATGGAGAGAGAGATGGACAGGAGGATGGAGGGATGGATGGATGGAGAGATGGAGGGAGAGATGGATGGAGGGAGAGATGGAGGGAGAGATGGACGGAGGGATGGATGGAGAGATGGACGGAGGGATGGATGGAGAGATGGATGGATGGAGGGGTAGACGGAGAGATGGCCGGAGGGAGGGATGGAGAAGGTGGACACAGAGATGGACATAGGAACGGACAGATGGACAGAAAGATGGAGGGCTGGACGGAGAGATGGAAAAACGGACGGAGGGACGGACGGACGGACAGTTAGATGGAGGGAACGGGTGGCCGGAGTAGGAGGACGAAGGGATGGAGGGACGGAGC